AATAATAATAAAGATACGATAATAAATTTCGCGCAGTTTAGTCAAGTGTTACCTGTTTGTTTTCGAAAGGGCTTAGGTTAGACCGGTCTATTAATCGATTATTCGGCAGAAAATGTTTCCTCCTGTTTTTTGAATAAATCCAGGCCGTTTCATTGCGGACACTTTCCGAGACTGTCCTCAACCGTCTGGCACATTGGGCATTGATTGGGTGAACTGGAGCCCGATCAATTAAAATTTCTCAGAGAGTTTTAAAGTTTTCTCATGAAACGGTGATGTTGATATTTCTTTCGATGATTCTTTTTCCCCTTCAACCATTCCACTACCGCTACACACACAAATATTTTGGTGCTGACAGACTGATTGTGAGAGTCTGAAAAAGAACAAACCCCTCGGCCGGATGAGAACACGGTAGTCGCGGCTAAAACGCGCCTAGCGCTAAACACGCCAAGCGGAGCCAGCGCGGAGGCGCTAAATGGGCGGTCGCGCTCTAGCGATAGCTGATGATAACCGTCGGCGGCCGGCCAATCGGAGGCGAGCGACGGTCATCGCGGGAGCCCATTTCCGCGTACGGGTACGGGGCCTCTCGTAACTCGTCGTACTACACGGTATACCGCCCGCGTATACAACCGATTCTCCGCGGATTGTTTACAAGCGCGCGCGCTCCGGGGACCTCTCCTCTCGCGTACGTGCGCGGCGTATATACACGGCGGGCGGGCGGCGTGTGCATTTAGTGAATCGCGCAGCAGCGTCCCGCGGCAGCCAGCCAGCCAGCAGCAGCGACCGTGCGCCCGTGGCCGCCCGCGAGTTCTCCCGCGAGGGATGTGCGCGTCGCGACGCGTACCCTCCAGTAACCCCCGTCGTCGCGACGCGATAGCGGGGCCCGCCGCCGACGCCGCCGACGCCGCGGCGTAGTATTCGTGTGTGTGCGTAGTATACGTTGCGTGACCCACTTGTTGCGTCTAGGTTATGGCGTTATAAACAAAAATATGCTGCGCACAATAGACGCGTCCGCAGGTCCGTCGTGAGCTCTCGGCTTACGAGCGAGAGCTTAGCTGCCCCGGGGGCATGGAGGCGGGTCCGGGTCTGAGCCTATTCCAGGGCTCGGAGAGCATACAGCTGAACGCGGCGGCGCAGGTACTCGAGGAGGATGAGGAGCAGGAGGCGCAGGAGGACCATAGGCGACTCGACGACGAGGTAACGTTTTTTTTTTCTTTCCCCCCCACGTCTCTCCCCGAACGGGAGTAAACGCGGAGTGTTGTTTCCGCTGGCGAAAAAGAATACTCGCGCGGAAATCGTTTGCCCGCGAAGAATACTCTTTCGCTGTGGAGAGAGAGAGAGAGAGAGAGAGAGAGAGAGATTTTCTGTCGTATTTTTTTTTTGGTATTGCGCTTCACAAGAAAGGTGGAAATCGATCGACAAGGCCCACCCCCAAGTGTGTAGCATTTTGTCGCGGGAAACTTTTTCGAGATACCGCTGTCCTCTACCGCTGGGAGACCGATTTGCGGGATCCACGTGTGTAGAGATAGTTTCTCGAACAGTTTTTATTACGGTGCACGACAGACGGAAAGAAGCAGTTGAAAGTTTATCTCATAATTTTGTCACAGAAAAATTCATGTGTTGGTGGCATGTATTATTGTCTGGTATGATAGTAGAGAATTGCATGGAGTGTTTTAAGCGTGTCCTTAGGTACGATGCTAAAAATTACTCCGAGATTTTAGCTGCAGAAAGAATTGAATCATATTGAAAGATTTAGCCAATTCAGCAATTTAATTGAATCAGTTCTTTCTGAGATCTCGAAGCTTTTTGGAAAAATTTTAAGGGAGCATGCGTACGAATGAAATTCTAATGTACTTTTTGCCCTTTCAGATCCAGGATCGCCTGGACAAGGAGTTCGACGATTTGGAAAACGATTACGATGCCAGTTCCATCAATAGTAGTCATTATCAGGACAACACCACCAGAGACGCCGAGCGTACCGATGCGATGGTCAACTCCGGCCTGGAGTCGATCACGTCTGCCAAAAGTCAGGTAGCCGTGGCGCATCCGCAAAATGATGGTTTTGGTGTTTACGATCGGGCGGAGAACAATTACGATTGCGTGGATAATCTGAACAATTACGATCGCGTGGATAATCTGAACAATTACGATCGCGACGTGATAACGAATCATAGATCCGATTCCGAGACCGGGATCGCGCAGCCCGACTGCGATTTGTACAGGCAACAAACGGGGACGCCGTACAACAACAATCGTTACAACGACAGTAACAGCATCATGGAGACGCCGTACGAATTGGCGAAACCGCCGACCGGATATCCCCGCAAGTTGCACCCGCCACCGCCGCCGCCGTCGGCGGCCGAGGAGTGCACGTTCGGCGAGAATTACCCTTGCAACTACGAGACGCCATCCAATCATTACAATACTCACATACCCCGGAAATACTCCAATAACGGTATTAACGACGTATATGAAAATAATGTACAAAGTAAGCAGATTCATGAGTTTGGCGGAGGCGACAACGCTACCTCGGATCACATGAATCATTGTTATAAGACTAGTCCGAATGGCAGGCCAGTAGACGACGATGTAGCATACAAATCGGCCGAGTATAACAGTAAGGAGCAATTGGAAGTATTGTATACGGTCAGGATGAGGGAGATTAGTCGCCTGAGGGAAGAGCTGCAGCAGTTGCGGCAGGAGAAGGAGAACGAAAATACCCAAATGAACAGGCAATTGATGCTGTTACAAGCGGAAGCCGAACAAAGCAGCATATCGCGGGATCAGGCGCAACAGGCATTGAGTAAGGAAGAGCTTCAAATTATTTACAGCTTTAAAGGAAATGTTTAGAGCAGTACAATATTTTGACGATGTTGCCAAATGTCCAGAGCAATATTAATTTAACATTTTTTTGCTTATTGTTAGCGATATAATATATAATCAGGTTGATATTTTGCCAATTGTTAATATTTCTTTTTTTTTGTAAATGGAATATGGCTTTCCAAAATTGGTCTTAAGAAATTCAGCTTATACTCTTCATTTCCTTTAAACTCTCCAATTAACCTTTTATAAAATTGGTATATATATGGGATGAGAGTCGGGATTGAACCCGGAACCTGCTGCATGTACGTCGACTGTTTTCACACAGAGCCATGCGTCATCCCAACCGTTTCATTTTGTTAATTTATTTTTAATTTTTAACATTTTTTTTTTTTCCAGTTGATGCTAAGGTTGAGATAACTGGTCTGCAAAGGCAAATGGAATTTGCGAAAGAAAAGAATGCAGTTTTGGAGAAGACGAATCAAAACGTAAGATACAAATCCGCATTCTGTTCTTATTAACATCAAATCCGTCAATGTCAATAAAATTGTTTTTACAGATAACGGAAGAACTGAAAATCGCGAGGGGTTCTGTCATGGACTTGCAACAAAAGATTGCTGTCCTGGAAAGAGCACAGGTGTTGCAAACGAATGACAGGACGCACGAGAAGTTTTTGGAGCAGGCGCAGGAAAAACATGCGGTGGAGATGAAAAATATGCAGACGCAGATAGATGTTCTTACCGGCAAATTAAACGCCAAGGTATTACTGATTTCTTTATGTAAATTGTGTACGTCGTGTGTGTATTTCATACATATATATGTATGAAATACACATGAGGATATATAATATATCCTTTTATATACATATCATATTTGTGTCATGTAGCTGCTCAATAAGGACATCGACAACAATAGTATTTGGGCAAGTTCTCTATTGATTATCTTTGCAATTGCACGTTGCAAAATATATACATTTTCATCATGTTTCTTTATAATTTACACTTCGATTTTTTTTACATGCACAATTGCATATTTTTAATACATTTAGTATATTTTTAATAAGCTGTGTCGTTTTCCTTTTTTATTGCTTTGCACATTTTATGTAATATCCTTTACATAGTTAATTTTGCTTTATTTAAAAATGTGAATTTTTGTTTCATTTAATTTATATTGTTTAAATCTTAATAGGAATCGTCATATATCGCTCTTGAACATAAATTGGACGATGCGCGAAGAGCGCATGAGGCCCTCATGGTAGAGAAGGGTGACACCATGAATCGATTGGCACAGGCGCTGCAAGACAGTCAAACTCAATGTCGCAATCTCATGGCCACTAATAACGCTCAGCAGGTGATGCAGCTGCAGGCGCAAGTGAAAATATTGACTCAGGAAAAGGAAGCTCTGCATAAAAACGTACAAGAGTTACAGGTAATTTATAAGATTCTGCACCAATTTCCTTCTCTTTTAAATACAGATTGTATTATAAGAAATTGATTTAGCGACAAGATCTTTATTTATTAATTATTTGTAGAATAAATTGGAGCTAGCTAAAAACGACGTTGCGCAATACGATTTATTATTGGCTACTACTCTGGAGGATGAATCTGACTCGATCAGACAGATGAAACTGAGCAAACTTTATAATAAATCCAAATCGAAACCCATCGATGACGTCTCGAACAAATTGAGAGGTGAACTACATAGGTAAGTGTCATTTAAATCTTCAGTCCTTATTAGATACGGTGTTAATCTTCCCGTTTATTTTTTATGCGATGATATTTTTGTTTAGATGCTTAGCTGGTCAAACTGCGAAGAGAACAGAAATAAATCGTTTAGAGAACACTCTCTCGCAGAGAGAAGAGGAGTTAGACAAAGCTTTGATCTCACTTGACGCAAGCCGTCAGGAAGCAGCGCAGAATGCCAAGCGAATAAATGAGTTAGAACAGGAATTGAGATCTGTATTAACGGACGAGGCCGTGAAAGCGAACGCGAAAATACAGAAGCTCTCGGATCACCTGAATGACGTGAGGAAACAGTACGAGTTGTTGCGCGAAGAAAAGATTATTTTGGAAAAAAAATTAGAGGAGGCTTTAGCTGTTAATCAGGAGAAGCTTCAAAAGATGCATCAGGAAACTATGGAGCAGCAAGAAAAAGAAGCTATCGATGAGTATAACAACGAGTACCTGGAGATACACGCTAAAGCCGTAGAGAGAGTGAAGCAAGAAGCACAAATCGAAATAGTACAATTGTCGTAAGTGTCAATCATGTTTGTGATAGCTTTTAATCATTCTTTACACATTTCGATAAAACTATATTATTACTAATAATAATAAATGGAATTTTTGTTTTCTAGTGTACAATTAGAGCAAACACAAAAAGAGTTAGATCGTGTAAAAGAAATGTACATAGACGTCTGCGGGACGAAGGAACGATTAATAAACGAGCATAAAAATGAAATTAAAGAGCTGACAAATAAATACGCTGAAATAGAATCGCATCACAAGGACATGGAGAAATTGAAGAGCGATTTACAAACGCAAGTTAAACTGTGTAATAAGTTGACTAAGGAATGCGAGGCCTTTAAAAGCCAAATAATCGAATTGGAGAAAGATCTTGTGCACGAAAGGAGAAAAAAGGAGGATCATGTAAAAAAGATACATTCAGAAATAGAAAGGGGTAAGTGTTGAATCCATACAAAACAAGAGATGCGAAATAACTTATACCGAAATAACGTATACCAATCACGATAAATGTCTTAAATGAGAAGTTTAATTTAATTTATTATTTTAAGCGAAAGAAGAAGCGTTACACGAACTACGAAACGCGCATCCGAATCAAGAGATAAGCCTTCTTCTTCCGGACCATTGTTCCGAACATCTCGAAAAAATTAATCAGGTAAATAAGTCATGTATGTTACATATATTACATATTTATTGAATTCCCTTCGAGATTACAATATTAGCTACAATAATACAATAATATATTCTCGCATCTCTTAATCTCTATCGTTTCACATCCTCTCCGCTATCACTCTTCGCCTACATTCCTTTCTACTTATGCAATATGTTTTTTTCTTATACCTAAACGCTCGTCTTTGATTACTCTCTAACTCTCTCTCCTTTTTCTTCTCTGTACCTTCGTTTTCTATCTTATATAACCTTCCACTCGTTAAGATTACTTCTTTTCTTTTTCTCTTCTATTCGCTTATCTTTTTTATTCTTTCTCTCCCTCTTTCCTTGTCCTCTTTATCCTTCTCTTCTTCCATTCATAATTTTTCTGTCAGCTTCCTCCCCCCTTTTCCTATCCCCTGCAATCTTCTCCAATATGCTTCCGTGATTTTTTCTAACCTAATCTATATTTTCTCTTCATTTTCTATCCATTATCTGTTCTTCCTTTTCCCCTTTTATTCTCTAACCTAACTATTCTCCATTTACTTTCTTCCCAATCTTTTTTCAAATGTTCCGATACTCCTTTTTGTTTCACTCTTCCGTACCATTATCTATTAAATTTTGAATTTCTTTTCCTATCTTTCCTTATTTTGCAAAATCTTTTCCCTTTATTAATCCCTCTCTCCATTCCCTTTCTCGTTTCCTCCAAAGTTCTCTCCTCTTCTCAGTCTTTGAAAACCTTTTATTTCTCCTTCTCAGCCTTCGTTCTTCTTAGAGACTGTATTCTGTACACACCGATGATTGTCGGTGTTGTTGCGCAGCTTTCCTTATATGATAAAAAAATTGCGCAATGATACCGACAATCATTGTCGGTAGCGGGTACAGAATAGAGGCCCAACACATTCTCGCCAATTCACTATCCCCTTCCTCTGCCAGCTTCCTTTCATACTTCCATGTCCTCATTTCCATGCAGGCATAAAATATGTCTTTAGTTTTAAAGTGTCAAAATCGTACGAAAAGTTAAATATTTGAAATTCAATTACATTTATTTTGAAATCTGTCCTTCATACTTCTGATGATATTATTCCGTTGTATTATAGTTGGAGGAAGATTGTAAACGCTTGGAAGAGAAGCTGCAAATCGCTGTGCAAGAACAGAAAAAATTATCCGATTACCAAACCGAATTGAACAACGCCAAATTGAAAGTAGCGCAAATGGAGATCACGCAGGAGTCGTGGAAGAAGAAATACGATAAGGTTGACAGTGAGAGAAAGGATCTTCTCGCAAAAGTTTCCAAATTAGATTTGGAACTGTTGAATTTGAAACGCATCGCGAAGCTGGAAGACTCGGACGACGTCAAATTAAAAATTGTTCGGTTCCAAACGGACAACGAGACACTGAAAAATCAATGCGACAATCTGCTCGGCGAGAAGAATACCTGTAAAGAGAAGATCTCTGAATTGGAAACTGAACTCTTCAACGTGAGAAAAAAAGTTAGCAGCCTCGAGGAAAGGTTACGGAAAAGCGGCGAAAGTAAGTCAGTAAATTCAAAGAGTGAATTGGAGAAAGAACTCTCTCAGTACAAAGATTTAGTCGCACAATTATCCAGGAGTAACTCGAAAGAAGGACGCGCGAGCGAGCTAGCGCTGGAACAGAGGTTGCAACAGCTCGAGCACGAGTTACGAAGCAAGGACGAAAACCTGAGTAGACTGTTGAAAGATTTGGAGAAGATAAAAGACGAGAGAGATCAACTGTTGGTGAAATTGCGCAACCAAGCCAAGCAATTCGAGCAATATGTCAAGAGCCAGAGCAAAGTGTCCGCGGAATTGAATTTGTCGCCTCGTAGTACGAGCGACAGTACGGATTTTCAGAAGATGAAGGAGATTATGGCGAAAGAGATGCGGGAAGGGATGGAGCAGAGAGTAGCGAAGGAGCTCAGAGGGATCGGCGAGCAGAATAGAAAGGAGCGGGAAGAGTTGGAACGAAAGTATAAAATTACCGTGTTGGAGTTGCAGAAGAAGTGCAGCGAGAAGGATCGGGAGATGGAAGCTTTGCGAAAAGAGATAATGACGGAGAAAATGAAGGTCGATCAACTCAGTCAGATCAGTCAGAAAATAGGAAGCAAACTGGAGACCTGCAACCAACAGCTGCAAGCGCAAAAGCTGCGCATCGAGAAACTGAATATGGATCTGCAGACGAAGGAGAATCAAGTGGAGGAGGATAGAAACTACATGGCCGAGATAATGATCAAATGGCTCGCTGAACTGAAAGAGAGCAAAGCTAAGGAGAAGGAGAAGGATGAGGAGATACAGAAGCTGAGGTCCGACGATATAATGACCAAATGCTTCGCTGAATTAAAAGAGAGTAAAGCTAAGGAGAAGGACAAAGATGAGGAGATACAGAAGTTGAGGTCCGTCGAGGGAAAATTGAACAGCGATATCAAGATTCTGCTGGACAAGCAGAGACATCTGATAAACAAGTATCTAAAGGCGAAACAGACCGCGAACAATTACAGGGTGCGTATACGAGAACCAGTAAGTCTAGTGAATTATTTTCCTACGTAAGACACCTCTTTTCTATATGACGCGTTCGAATTTCAGAGCTATGCATTGTCGAATAAGGAGTTTCTGTTGCGTGAATGTAAACGCGTCGAGGAGGGATACAAAAAGGCCATCAAAGAAGTACAACAAAGCTGTCTGGCGCACGACGAGCAGTACGTCGCGAAAGCCAAGAGGCTTGAGCATCAGCATGCAGAAAAAAAGGAACAAATGGGACTTACACTGAAGTACAAAGATAAATGTTGAAGTACGTACGAAATATTCTCTAAATTAATGCAATATAGCTTTTCTCCGGTTAAGATAAAGTAGTAGTTTACAGAGGCTAGATATCTTTTTTTTTTAAATAATTTAAAGCACATTATTGTACAACAGTTTATTAGCGGAGTTTTATGTTAGGGACCAATATACGTGTAAGTAAATCATATAATACCGGTAAAGTTATATTACCGCGTTTGCTTGCCAATCTCGAGTCTCGACGAAGCGGCGGACGTTAAGCGTAGCTCTAAAAGCTATAAACATCTGAAGTACAAGTATCTTAATCGTATTGTAACGGTACTGTATGCATATTATTAGTTGATAGGGAAAAAAAAGCGTTTTTATATTAACCAATATTGTACAGTAGAGTCTCTATTCTGGAGTAATCGTTGGGAACCGTTGGGGAAGCTGCCCCTCCGTATCACTCTTTCTCATTCTATTCATCTCGTTTTGCGGTTACATGACAAATACGTGGAGGAAGAGCGGCGCAAGGGAATGACTGTTCTAGAATGTAGAGAGATCCGCGAAATGAAGGAAAACGGAATAGAGGTGTTCTATTGTACATCACAATTTTGCAAGTCGTCTGCAACTTGGAGGCAGAAGGCGGTTAGTACGCAGGCTCGCGAACAAAAAAGGGAAAGCTTTAGTCACGTGTTTCCGCTGAGCATTATTATGACATAATAAGCAAGACTGGATCTCTTTGTCGGATCTCTCTCTCTCCCTCCCTCCCTTTCCCCTCTTTCTCTCTCTCTCTCCCTCTCCCCTCTCTCTCGCTCGCTCTCTCTCTTTTTTCTTCTTGTCCTCTTACGGAAGTAAGCGCGATAAAGAGAGAAAATCAAAACATAGTTGTTAAGGAAAAACATTTAATCTTTGCTCCTGCCCCCCCTTTTTCTCCTTCCCTCCCGCGTAGCGAACTGAAAATTATCTCGCCGCTCGGTCAACGTTTATTCTCGAGCATTAGGCGTTTGTTTACATATTTTGCGTGCACAGCGCGCTAGGAGGAACATGAATAATATCGGGATTGTACATACAAAATATGACTGACGGAAATTTGCTTTGCATGTTTCATGTTTTGTCTAGAATAAAATTCGGACTGTAATGAACATTTTTTAGCGCGTTAGACAGCAGGACTGAGTAACGAAGATCTACGTTATCTTTAATCTTAAATGACTTGAAAAGTATATTTAAGTACAATCGTAACAATTAGATCTGAAGTATTTGTTCGTATCTTTTTTAATTTTAAAAGTTTGACGAAAATTGAATCTAAGATTGATCTAATCGAAACAAGACACCAAAATTTATATTAAACCAGAATTAAATTCTTCCCCTATTCCCCTCCTTCCCTCTTACTACTTCTCAATTTACTTATTTTATGCAATTGTGTGCAATCTCAAAGAATGGCCAATTATCGTATCGGCTTGTAAGAATCGCGGAGTATAATATAAAAATAAAATCCTTGTGTATATCCCTTTTTATGTGAAGATTTTGGTAAGATTTATTCCGACATCGACGCGTCGCATGTCGTACGTTTAAATAGGTAAACATTAGTTCACCAGTGTCACCACTGGATATAGAGAAGTATTATTAATATTAATTAGTTATTGTATTTTTGTATGTAGAGTGAATTAATTTATTTTTTGTAATAAAGAATTTATGTCGCTGTCGAAGTGTATTGTTACCTTATTTTACTTCGAAAATTGTTCCATGCGTTTTGTAATATTAAAACTTAAAGACCGTATTGCGTTTTAACGTTATAAATCCATTTTACGAAGATATATATATATATATAGTATATAGTTAAGTTATATATATATATAACTTGACGGCGCAATGCGCGACCGAATAAGATACTGCGTTGAAGAGCTGATTTGTTCGTTCCGCGACACCCCGTATATACGAGGTCGCGCGGCGACAGCGAAGCGGGACGGAGCAGGACGGAGTGCTCTGCCGAGACCCGAGTGTGCTACAGCGACTCGCGGAGAGGACGAGTATTCGCCAGTGAGAACGCGGGCTTTCTCGTGGCTGCATCATGTGGCTACGGACATCGCTGCTGCTCTGTGTCGCGGTCGCGCTATGCCGGTCGATGGTCCAGCTGACGCTTGGAAGCGAAATCGCCGCGAACCGGGCTCTCAATCATGACACGCCGCGAAGCAGCAAATACAAATACGAGACCAAGACGTTCGACGTGCGCGTGAGTTATCGCGCACGTGTGCTGATTATTTGTTATTTATGACACAGCTGTATCACTAATTTTCAATCAATTAAAAAACTAATTGACTGTACACATCAATTATTGATTGCGCGCGGGATAGTTATTTATCAATTTCTGTTAATTATAACAAGCAAATAATTGTGTAAACACGTTCCATGTGTATCATTCACGTTAAACTTTCCATTCATACCATTTAACTGAACGGAAGCAAATATCATAAAATATTTTATAATATCATTGATTGATATATACAATTAATATGTATGAAATTAATTATAATTAATATGTATAGTATGAAATAATTATCACATCGTGCATCATTGTGGTACACGAGGTTTAATTTGGACAGTCGCACAAAATCGGCGCGATATGGAACATGTTAATTAGTAATTACGACGTAATTATTAATTAACTTAATTTCTGCTAGACGCACAAAACTGATAAATTATTAAAAATGAAAATTAGACATAAATAAAATTCATTATCAATTACTGCTGGTTAACATTTTACAATACGTTTCCTAAGGTGGATCACTTCAGCTTTGCCGTACAGGACACTTTCAAATTGCGATATCTCGTAAACGACACTTGGCGAAAAACGCAAAATGCCCCTATATTCTTCTACACCGGAAATGAAGGCAGTATCGAAGTTTTCGCAGAGAATACGGTAAGAGCGGTCAGTTGTTCAGACAAGATAATTGATACGCGATATCGCGTTGTGCGCTTAGTTGCAGCGGCTTAATTAAGTGCTGATTATATTTATGTTTTTATCATGTGTTTGTAAATGATATCTTCCTAACAAACACGAAGTTCTTAAGCTTCTCTAATGCATAAACATATTAATTACTACAAAATTGTTATGAAGTAATAGTCCTTAATAAAATATTAATAATATAAACGGAATAATCCTTAATTAAATAATAGTAAAATAGTAAAATTAATAAAATGCAGATTAGATTGTAGAAGATTTTATAATATTTAACAAATAAAATTTCTTGTTTTCTTTTTCGTTGCATTGAAATGGATTTATTCCAATTGAGTAAATCCTAATCGAGATAATTCAGATCTTTTGCTCATGAAATAAATCTTAAAACTAAAATTAATATATTAAATTAGCGATAAGAAAGTAAAAAAATTAGTGAACTGTAGACCACGTCATTAAGGGGTAAAACCACTTTGATGCCCTAAGGGAATTTTTTTTAAAGAAATGCGAAGTGTTTATAAAAATCCATTTAATAATTTATTATACATATATTAAAGTAGAAATTGTATTTTTTTTCAGTTGATATATTAAAAAATGCCGGCTTGACAGCTGATGGACGGGAAAAAAGCGATGGGCACGATGAGCTTATCGTAGCTTGACCTAGAATAATGAAACAAAAAAAAATTAGTTTTTTTAGTCTAAAACCTAGTAGAATACGTAGGATTTTTTCGAAATATTGATATCTCGCTTTTCCGTGTAACTTTAAGTAACGAAATTTTTGGTTGAAAATTTACATTTTACTTTGAATCGATGCCATATCAAAAAAATGCATATTTTTTTAAACGGCTACGTATTCTACTAGCTTTTGGACTAAAAAAACTAATTTTTTTTGTTTTATTGTTCTATGTCAAGTCTACGATAAGCTGTCGTGCCCACCGCTTGATCCTCTTTTTTCAAAGCGCTCCCGCCCATCAGCTGTCAAGCCGCAAAGTTTTTTAATATATCAACTGAAAAAAAAATAAAATTTCTACTTTAATATATGTATAATAAATGTAAATGGATTTTTATAAACGCTTCGCATTTCTTAAAAAAAATTCCGAAAAAGTGTTAAATTTCAGGGTGTCAAAGTGGTGTTCACTCTTTAAATAAAATCAACCTTTAGCCTTTTGTACGTTATCTCATTTCAATTCTTTGACAAGTTATATATATCCTTCGCAGGGTTTCATATGGGACATCGCACCACAGTTCGGCGCATTGGTAATATTCGCCGAGCACCGTTACTACGGTGAATCGCTGCCCTATGGGAACCGGTCCTTCACGGATCCGCAACATCTCGGCTATCTAACGTCCCAGCAAGCTCTAGTCGATTACGTGGAGCTAATCGATCATTTGAAATCGCAACCGGGATATGAGCGCAGCCCAGTCATAGCTTTCGGTGGCTCGTACGGCGGTATGCTCAGCGCTTGGATACGCATGAAGTATCCCCACATTGTTCAGGGGTACGTTTTATCGTTGGACGATAGCGGTACCTTGTTTGTACAGCTAAGAGCACAGAAACGTAGAGGAGACATACCTAAACACATATCCATTTTATGTTAAATATATCTAAATATATAGATATTTAGATATATTTAGATATGTAGATATTTTTATATTTAACGCTTATGCAGCGATAATTGCTCAATCAGATATACACAATCGTAATTGTTCAACAATTATAAATCGTTGACATTAAATCGTAAACATTTGTAAATAGTACTTCAAGATCGGCTCTATCAGGATACATTATTTTATATTTTAATTTTGCGCTTTCCTTTTTAGAGTTAATCGCGATTTAAATCCGTGCAAGAAGAAATGTGAAAAAAGTTTAAACTAGGGTAGAGAATTTTATTATTCATATTCCAAGCCTACGTATATATAAAAAATATGACAATATACATAATATCTGAGGCAAAGATGTACGTACATGCAATAAAATAATATTCTTTATTGGCAACAGCGCGAATTCATGTGAACGGCAACTTATCGCGCCAAACGTTTACAATATTGCATAATATTAAATATTATCGTTGCAGCGCGATTGCGGCCTCCGCGCCGATTCTGCAGTTCACCGGCGTCGTGGATTGCGGGGCATTCGCTCGGATAGCAACGTCGGATTATCGTGTAGCGAATCCAACGTGCCCGCAACTTATCCGGAACGCGTGGAGCACGATAACGAATGTGACTTCGAACGGTAATGTGAAATAAGTTCCCCCAACACTTGGTCGTAATTAATTCACCTGACATTCGATTTTCTAAAATCTTTGCCGCTCTTGCGTTTCAGACGAGGGCAAAAAATGGCTGTCGGACAATTGGAGGCTGTGCGAGCCGCTGAAAACCGCGGAGAATGTCAAGACGCTGAAAGATTTTTTGCAGAATATCTACATCAATCTGGCCATGGTCAACTATCCATACGAGGCTAACTTCTTAGCGCCGCTACCCGGCAATCCGATTAATGTGAGCATCTCTCCAGTTTTGCAATCATAAACTTAATTTCCTCCATGAATCTTCTGGCGAATGTAAAATCGCTTTTTTTTACTGAAAATTGGACAAGATTATTATTTTTAATGTTCTGTGTATACAGAATAATTATAGATTCCAATTAAAATCAATGTGAGAATTTTAAAACTGATGATTTGAACGTTTATTATATGCTCAGGTTTTCTGTCAACACCTGACAAACGCGTCATTAACGGGAAAACCGCTGTTATCGGCGCTTTACCGAGCTGTCAGCGTTTATACGAACTACACCAGGAAGGCGAGCTGCATCTCCATGAAGAATGCGGAGCCGGGCTTGGACGCCGATCAGGGATGGAATTATCAGGCGTGCACAGAAATGGTGATGCCGATGTGCACCGATGGCGTCAACGATATGTTCGAGCCGGAGGCGTGGAACCTCGCAGATTATAACAACACCTGTTTCAAGAAATATTCCGTATCGCCGCAACCTTATTTGGTTTGCGAGCAATACGGCTGTAAGAATTTTATCAATGTATCTAACATCATTTTCAGGTACACAAAATGATATCTATAAGTAAATATTAAAAAATCACTTTGTTTTTATTTTCTATATATTTTTGTTTCTAATTTTATTTCACTTCTATATTATAATATATATTTTCCTTCTAATTTTTATGTTTCTAATTTTATTCTATGTAAATGTTCTCACACTTCTATTTCGATCGATTCATTTTAATTTTGCCTCCGTACCCTGGGATTTTTCATTGCTGAGCCGTCAATAAACTTTCATTTTTCTTTTCTTTTCGCAGCAACGGATTGCTGGATCCGTGGACGAGCGGAGGTGTGCTGCGCAATTTATCCGAGTCGGCGATTGCGATAGTGATCCCGGATGCCGCGCATCATCTCGACTTACGAGAGAGTAACAGTAACGATCCGTACAGCGTTGTCTTGACGCGCAAGTTCCATCAATTTACGATTCACAAGTGGATCCAGGAATATATCCAGGATCATAGAATAGAGGAGACTTTTTAAGTTCGACGCGACGAAAGGTGAAGTAGTTTACTGGGATTATCGGGAATAACGCCTGGTCGAAATTTATCTTCTTTATTTCTCAAATTAAAAATACAAAAACAGGACACATACGTCGCGACAACAATAAATACTCAAGCGCTGCCGTGGACCGGCTACTTTATAACGCTGAACAAAGCGTTGACGAAAACTCAATCGAAAACATGCGCGAAAGCATTTTCGGTGTATCACAGTAATAAATAATAAATGCACATACCTCGTCGGGTATTCTAAAAGATCTACAAGAGAGAGAGTATAAAACGTATTCGGACAATGCGAAAGTTCAAAAATATAGGCGTTCAAAGAACGTCCGACCTTCCCGGACGTTTCTCGCGATATATTTTTCAGACGTTCGCACTGTCTCTAAAATCCTTCGTCACGAATCTAATATCACTATAGCACATAAAAATGGCTACTTCGTCAAATAAAACCTCGTAACTCTAACGCGATTATTTGACACTGATACTCGACATTAATTATAAATATATGCGCCGTATTACTTCTAGCTTTTTATTTACGTAATTTCTTATGCCAAGTTTGTCCGAAGGAATCATGTAGGGAGTGAGTACAAGCGAACAAAGCTACCGAAGAATATACGAATTTCTAAATGTAGAAGAAATTTATCTTTAAGAGAACGTCGTATTTTAAACCGAATCTATAAATATCATGTAAATACGATGTCATGATTTTTTTTTTATATACGTCGATTCTCCGAAATTTTCAAATCTTTCTCGTTCCACAGGTACAGCATTGTTTCTTTTCACACTTTTCTAAATGGACTCGTATTATTTTCTACATTACCAGAGCGATCTCTTTCGAATATTATTAACACGAAAATGTATTTCCGATAATATTTTAACACACGATTTGTAAATGCGTTGGAATGCTCTTTCTATATTATATTATAAATAAAAAATTAAATACTCTTGGATAAAATACTTGTGTCTTCTATGGCGCGTGACTCCAAAGTGATTTCAAACAGAAAGCGTTTAAATAGTTTTATCTACTGTGTCTGTTTGTGTGTGTGTGTGAGATTGGCGTTAAATTATAGTTTCAACCGTAACCACTCAATCGATATAGTTGGACATTTTTCTCACAGGCAGGTTACACTCTGTATAAAAAAAAGTCTCGAGATCTTAAAAAAGTAAGATAGAATATCGCGAAACCGGAAACGGGTGTATATTATCTAATCGTACCAGTCACCGATACGAGTATCTTGCAGACACTCGCACGATTGCGTAAGTCTCTAAGAAAAAATAGATCTACAAAAATGTGAGAGAAGATAAACCTCTGCGTTTCCACGCGGCCGAGGATCCTCGTGTTTAGTGCGGTGTACGTCGATGCGCGGTAGTTGGTCTGGGGACGCCAGAACGGCTTCGCACTTTCTTCGGTTGCACAAACGTTGTATTGTCTATCCCGATGTTGTAAGTGAGATATATGTTCGACATGTCTGGCGGTATTGTCTGCAAATAAAGAGAAATTTTTATATATCGTTATGTAGATCGAAATGTTGGTCATAGAATTTTAAACACCAGAAAAATTCGTACTGTGTCCTTTCTAGGATTAATATGACAAAATGGATAATCTTACGTCTTTAGTATTCCCTGCCGGCGACGCGGTCTGCGCTTTGCGCATGTTATTTCCTGTATACGCCACGCACTTTAGCTGCCACTCGCCTATATCCTCATTCCAGTGAACGTATCTCTTGATCATCGTCTGTAAGATAACACAGAGATACACTTAAACAATATATTTAATATATTTCGTAAAATTAGATTAACTTCGATGCGTTTCGTCGATCGTTAATCGTCATTTTGACTCATTTGAAAATTTTAATCTTTCAAGTTTTCAGTTGATAACATTCTAAGAAAATTTGCGCAACAATATTTTTCACATACCTGATACTGAACGGGAATATAATGATTCACAATGAGATTCTGCAGCTGCAACTCCCTGCCGATTCCCCGTACACCCTCCAGAAGACCCTCCATCTCCCTTTGGTGTTCCTGCTGCAGATCGGACAGCTCCGCCTTGACGGACATCAACATCGTGTACACGCGCGCCAACTTTTTCGTTTTCCCAGCCGCTTCCTCCTGCAGAGACGAGTACTTCTCCTCGATGTCGATGCGCTCCGCCTCCTTCGCCTTAATGGCCCTCTTCAATTGCTCCTCTCGGCTCTTCCGCTGATCGAGTTCGACCGCCGCGGCGGCTAACAATTGCTCCTGTGCCTCCGCCTTCTCCAACAGATTTTCGCCGCCCACTAATATTTTATTCTGCAAATTCTGCATCTTCTCTCGCAGCGCTTCCTTCTCGCTCCTGGAATTAGGGCACTTGATCTTAAAAGTGTCCGTTCTTACATCGTTTATTTCTTTCATATTACAGATTTAATTATCTGTTACATTAATTTTACATTTGAACAAAAACTTACTGAGTCTTCTTCAATTCGATGACGTCTTTGTCCACCGGACTCTTATCGTCCCTCTCGGCCTTATCGACCTTCTCTGTCGAGTCCACGTCTCCGTCCTCCAACTCTTCCACCGACATCATTTGACTCCTTCTACGTCGAGCCCTCTTGTCCCGCTTCGTTTCTCTCGATTCCTCCGAATCCTCGGACTCGTCCTCGGACTCCGAGAGTTCCGCGCCATTCTCCTCCAGCTGTTTGCGCAATTGTTCGATCTCGACTTGGAACTGACGAAGCAAAGCATCCTTCGGATCCTCGTTGATCCTCGCGCGATTCTTGATGTTCTTCGCGCGATTCGCGTAACGTAAAGTGCTTATAGTCTCGTCGTAGTTTATATCCGCCGGACTAATGTTTGCGCACTGAAATCGCGATATTAATGACGTTAAATATTTTTTAATCACGAAAACAAACGCGTAATTATAACATTACTTGTTAAAACTGCTAAAGCATCTATAATTATTTACAATAAGTAAACGTATGGAATGTCTATATTGTATCACTTACCATCAACGTTTTCGAATTTCCACCCAACGAGTCCTGAAGCAATCTAGTCAGTTTCGAATTTCTGTAAGGCACGTGAGAGCTTTGTCCGTCAACCAGCGCGGATATTACGTTCCCCAATGTGGACAATGACAAGTTAATCTTGGTGGCCTCGCGAAGCCGCTGGCCCGTCGCCTTTGTCTTACTTTGTCTCTCCGATCCCTGCCAATGTAGAAAAGTGAGAAAATAGACAAGAAAATTCAGGAACGTAAAATGGAAATCTTATATTTGAAGAAACAACGTTGTGTCGCATGACCGACATACGTACAGCTAAATCCACCAAATGGAGCTTCCCCATTTTCACATGCTGCTCCCCATCTTCGCCGATCTGACTAGATTCAACCGTGATTGTGAATATCGCGTGGGACCGGGAGCTGGACACGTTCATGGCAGTAGCCCCGACAACTCCTACGCGAATTCAGGATTACTTTCAGCATGTATGCATCGTAAACGTATGCAAAACTGCGCATGTTTGCCGCATCGCTGTACTGTCGTTACTCACGATTCTTGTTGCCGAGAGACATAATGCGATCCAAATCGTCGGCATTGTTCACCACGTACCCGCTGAGGTCCTTCACGAACACTCCGATGTCAGGTCTTTCTTTCACCTCCAATCGAGTATTCTGATCTTTACCGAGCAGATCCCGAACTTCCTCGTTGTAGATCTCCAGGTACGTCGCACGCACGAGAAATCTATTACAATAATCAATATATTAATAGAAGAAATTCAATCTGCTTAGAAAAGTACACTACCGCTCAAAAATATTTGCCCACTTTGTCTTTTTTTAGTTAAATATGGTTAAATAATGCTAATTTTAAAGAAAAGTGAATTTCAATCTTCTTTCCTAATCTTCTAATTGTTGGGCTTAATAATAATCTTGACGCGAAATTTTACATTCTACGTATATATAAAAAAAAATAGAATGAATTTAAAGCATATAAAAGTGATACATACAAAAATCAAAGTGGACATATACTTTTGAATGATAATGCTCTATTTTAATGATACAAGCTGTTTCAAGATATCTGCTTCACAGAATTGTACAGCATTATTTCGTAAAATAGCAATAAAAGTCTCGTGTTTTTACGTCATTTATACATCATACAATAGTTTGTTTTCGACAAGACGTGTGTACGAAGCCTTACTTCTGAATTTCATCGGCTTTAGCTATGTGACCGAAGATGTGAGCAAACGTGTTTGGAATGATGCCTCTGGCTTGTGGGGAGGTTTTAGCGCCGGACATGGTGTAGGTTTTGCCGGTGCCGGTTTGGCCGTACGCAAAGATCGTTCCATTGTAGCCCTGCAGCACCTTGTCGACTATTGGCCTGGCGGTCTCATTATAGATGTCCACCTGGGTGGAGTCTGTGTCGAACACCGCGTCGAAGGAAAAGACTTTCGGTGGCTCTCCATGCGCCGCATTTTGATTCTCTATCGTGATCTCGGCGTTCAGGGTATCCACTTCTATTATATTCTTGCTGTGGTTGTCAAACTCCTTGGTGCTGAGTGGCCGAACTCGCACCACCACCCTGACATTCTCTATCTCTCCCAGCTCCGATGCGCTATCCTGAAATATGTAACATGTCACATGAAGATAGACCTATCGTTTTAAAGAGCATTTAATTCTAAGGATGCGCGATTCATAATGCGATAATTAAATGTTCATTATAGTACAGTAAACTTAAAAAAAAAAAGATAACAGACTATGCTAATTACATTAGATTCCACAATATGGATTTAGATATAATACCACTGCTGTGTAAATAACAGCAAGTCAATGGAACAAGTAAATTATTACATAATATTGACTAATCAATAATATTCAAGCAATAAAAAATCAGATAGCAGACGCGCCGTGGAACTCTTGTCTCGGTTACTGTCGCACAGCCGAGCTTGACATTAGAAATGTCACAGAATGTCAGAGAGATCGTCTCTCTGTCTGGCACATACATACTGTACTTGAATAGAATAATACTAACTTCGGTCCCCGGCATTGCGGATCCGTGTGCACCCGCCAGCAGTCACATAAACACGAGCGTTTCTCACAGCATAATTCGCAAACGTTTGCGGAGCACACGTCGGGGAACGTCGGGCTAGCAGACGACCTCGGTAAACAAATGGATCGATGCCTGCCGTTCGCTGACACATTAACGCATTTACGCGCAGCCGGACTCGCCGTGTTCGAGGGGAGCCATCTTTCCCTTGTATCGGCAAACGATTACGCAACTATATATGCTTCTATTGGTAATGTTACTACCGATAATCTATCGACTTATCTTTGTACGAGAACCGCGGGCTTACTTATTTTACCTACTGCCGTTTCAATTAAAGACATATATATGTATATAATAATTGCAGTCGAAAGGCAATTAATACGTTTTGCAATAACACACATTGAACAACAAATTTTGATCAACTTTCTATTTCTAAACTCTTCTAATAAATATAATAAGTGTTTTTTGTAGAGATTTTTACATTAAAAAAGGAGATACTTTTCAAAAATTCTGCATTGTCTCTTCAATTACCCGGGAAAAAAAGTTCCATATATAATTATATATAATTAAATGCAAAATATGTCCATATATTATGTTTCTTTCCTTTATAAAATTATTCTTTAATACAAAATTGATAATACAAAATAATAAGAAGGAAACATAAAAAATAATTAAAAGAATAATTTTTGCATTGGTTTCTTTTACAAAAAATAAAGTTTAAAGAAATAGAAAAGTGGTATTATTTTAATTATATATATACATATATAATTATATATATATATAATTAAACTTATGCCACTTTTCTATTTCTTTAAACTTTATTTTTTAGTATAATATACATATATAACAACCTCCAGTTTCGTCATCTCCATTTGGCGATCGCCTTCCAGAAACCGTGCTTCAATTTACGCCGCTAAATGCCGTATAGCACTGGCAGCGCATTTCAGAGCACCATAGTTCTGGGTGGATTTGAATCTGGATCCTCGGCACAGTAAGCTGCCACGCAGCTCCTCGCGCCACGATCGCTCGTCTCTTCAAATTTGATTTTTTGTAAAAAAAACAGTGTAACAATTATTATTTTAATTATTTTTTATGTTTCTTTCTTATTATTATCAATTTTGTATTAAAGAATAATTTTACAGAGGAAAGAAACATATATGAACATATTTTGCATATAATTATATATAATTATATATGGAATTTTTTTCCCGGGTAAATATTATTTTTTTTTGTGAAATTTCGCTATGAATTTCTTAATTATGTTATACATATATATATGTAATAACGCAAATTCGTAAAAATGAATATCTTTAATTTATTTACTCTCTAGAATATATTTCAGCCTTTTAGTTTTAACATTTTCATAGCATTGCAATTAAGTGACCTTCAACTCTATTCGATATAATTTCATCGAGAACTAATTTGTCTCTAATTATGACACCATCGTTTAAATTATTATATAAGAAGGAGCAGACGGACGATCGAAAAAGTGCTTTCTAAATTTAAACGGTTTCCATCATTCAAGCTATATCATTATATGAACAATTCTCGCAATTAATTCTCCAGACGATTTGCATGAAATTCAACGCGATGTTCTGTCAGCAGGTCGTTTCTAGGTAACATATGAAGAGTTTACCGTTGTTGCTACAGGATACATCCTACTTTTATATACCGCGTGTCTTCTTCGATGACAAGTCGATCAGATAAAACTTTAAGACTTTATTGTCGCAAAGACTTTATTGTCGTAATAAGGTATTACAACAATAATTTTATAGTTATATAATGAATTACAAATGTGGAACTTTAGAGATACAAATAAACAACAAAAACCTTGCATTTTCAATAAGATAAGATTCTATAATAATAATTATAATTATTAATTTGAATATTATTATTATTATTATTATGTGAAACTTTAGAGATACAAATAAACAACAAAAATTATTCTCTTCAACGTACAAAATTTGTAATGAATTTGAATATTTGCAGCTACGTTCTAATAAATGCCCTTGCATTTCCTATTTATTTTCACGAGAAATGTATTGTGTTTTCCACTTAGAACGTAGCTGCAAATATTTAAATTCATTACAAATTTTGTACGTCGAAGAGAATAATTACAACGTAAAATAAATATACTCTCGCTAAGAAATATACTTTCTGTGATAAAGAATAGATATATTCTATCTTTAACAGATACGTTCTCGCTGAAAATTGAGATCTCTCTCTATTTCTCTTTCTATCTCCAGATTTATAGAAGATTCTATTGCTGGCTAATGTCCGTTAGAAGTAGGACACTGCATAATGTACAATGTAACATCACGCTATAAGTGCCGCGTCATTTACACTTGTATATCGCGCGATTTAAACTGTGTAATTAAGCGGACAGTATAATAAGCGCGAGACATTATTAAAACGGGTGTGCAGAAATCGTGAGAAGATATCTAAGTCAACGCGTAAATCTTTACTTTCTATCGATGAAAGTTCTGGGCGGAAAGCAGGAATGACCTTTGTCATTACACTATTTAGTGGACCTTCTATAGTGTTTAAGAACTAATCGTGACGAAATGGTATCTGTATACTGTAAATTAACATGATATTCGTTTAACTTTTCTTTAATTTCATTTTTGTCTCTCATCTTCTTTTTGTTTGTTTTATTACGATCTTCTCATTTCCCTTCTTCTTTCTTATAAATATTTAATAACAATCTGATAATTAATTAGCTCAACTACCTATCCTCTTTTTTTTCATCTCTCTTTCTTTCTCTGTCTGTCTTTCGTTTTCTCTCCTTTCTCCCATTTATCTCTTTCATTTTTGTTCTATTTTAAAATAGAAGCTATAGAAGAATTAAAGACTAATAAAACGAATAAACAAAGATGTTGTAATATAATTATATATATAATTTTATTCAACAATATTCTGCTTTAATAGGTATTTATCGAATAAAATGATATAATTAAATTGTAACATCTTTATTTGCTCATTTTATTAGCCTTCATTTCTTCTTGTTTTTTTTCTATTTTATTTCTAAAATATGAACCAATATACAATTTTACTTTGTTCTATTTTTTTTATTTTATACAGTAATGGTTAATTATATATTATATAAATTATTTTATTTACGCGGTTTAAAACAAAATGCTTTTTAGAAACGTCCAGCTTCTTCGAAAGAGTCCTTCTCCCTTCCCTCTCCCTCTCTTAATTCTCTTTCTTTTTTTCCGCTTCCATCTATTTTTTTATATGTTTTTCTTTCTGTTTCTTTTCTTAATTTTTTTTTCGTTGTAACACAAAAGAAATAGAAACACGGTATTTACGTTAAAACGATTAATTACTTTACACGCCATTCGAAGTAAGCTAATTGGGCACGAGATAGGGTCCAGCTTCGTATGTGCGTCATCAGCCGTCCCCTCTCTATTCTCTCTCTTTCCACCTCAGGTTTTTCCCTTTGTCCCTCTCGTCGAGACGGTTGCCCCCGTCGTTTGCCGTCGTACCCTTCTCCACGCTAGAGCCGGCTTCGCGCCCCTCTTGCAGCTCCCCCGGCGCGGCGTGCCGACTCGGAGCGGTGCGGAGCAGCAGCTGACGGACGTAACAATGCGTTGTTCCCGGTGCACACGGTAGTGCTATGTATTCCGCACAAGTACCAGAAGAAAACCGTCACGATAAAGCGGCGTCACCGATATAGAGGGTCGTGCGGCGCACCCCAGCCGTTACGCGGGAAACGCGATGTGAAACCCCCCCCCACCGGTACATTCACGCCACCAGGTAAGAATCAGACCTCGATCGAGAGGGCTCTAATATAACTTCTCTGACCTGCTTACGTTGCGAATAGCCGAGGAGAGAAAATTTACGCGTCGAGATGCGAACGCGCGGATCCTCTTCGGCGCGAAAGGGTGAAGCCCCGAGCGGGCGATACTTGCGCGAGATGTGTGAAATTACGTGAAGTGAGAAAGTTCGAATCGACAAAATAAAATTGTGCGATCGGAAAAAAAAATGAGAGGATGCTGAATCAATTATAGATAGAGAAAGAGAGAGAAAGAGAATGCTTGTCAATAACCTGACGTCGTTCGACGCCGCGATTCTATTCCTTAGAACGCTGGAGGCTGGATTTCGCGTGGATTAGTTAGTGTCGCGCAGCAGCGGGACTGACTAAAAATTGTTGTCGAAGTTGTAAAAATAAAAATGTGTGCAAACAAAATTAGGTCAGACGTCAGACAAAGAGATAAATTTAGTGTGGGCGAAAATTGATACGGCGGTATCCAGTGTGTTTAACGATCTGAAATGTTGCAAACGTCGATGACGCTCTCTCTCTCTCCCTCTCGAAAATGCGCTCGCTTTATCATGAGAGAGAGAGTAATTCTGCGGAATAATTAATGTGCGTTTGAAGCAGCGGGTATACGAGCGCTATAAATACGTAACGTAAAACTATAAGCGGGGGCGACTTTGTGCGTCTGTATCTACCGGGCGCGTTACCGTTTTTCCGCGCTGGCGGAAAGCGCGCGTGTTATCTGCACGGGGCTTAACGCGCCCCCGAAGTGAAATGCATCCGAAAGAGGAGTAGTATTTCCATATAAGTTACAAGCGGTTCTCGCCGTACAGGTTTCTGTGTCGACTGTCCATTTCCGTTGCGCAATAAATACGCGATATATACCTACGTACATTGAAGTACGTTAGAAACGAACGTGGGGGCCCGGCATTTGCATGGCGCCATAACGCTCACTCCGCCTTCGGGACTTAGAAGCTCGCAGCGTTATTGATCGATCCGGTCGCGCGCGTGTACACGCTAACGCGCGAACTAATCGCGCGGAAAACTTCGTGGCCGAAACTTACTTAGGCGACGTCACGCATGTGGAGTATGATAAAGCGTGAGTACTGCATGACATTATATACCAGTAGATTTCATTCGGTGATATACTAAATCACCTAGATATATATATGTACTAAACAACGCTAGCAACGTAGAAACGACCGGCGCACGTGTAGCGTTGTATCATATACTATCGCCTTTGATTACGCACGCCACACGAGTTATGCTTTTGATTTTAATGAATTCATGCCGCAATTATGTGAATTGCTTGGCGTAGAATTCACGAGGAATATCCCGTCGCAACTGTATTATTAAAAACGTTGTATTTGCATGTTGTGAAACAATCCGATCTATTTTTAGAGCAACAAAGAATT